TTTAACTCAGAAGGCACAAAATTTATATAATCTAAAGAATTATCTAATCGTTGCCACATGTTCTGTTCAAATACTGTAATAAATCTAAAATGATGTACAAAAGAAATTAAGCAAACAACAACAAAAAAGAAACAGTTTTTCACAGATAATTCAGTATTTCTCATTCAGTTAATTCAGTTCTCACTTCGCGACAAGGCAAAAATACATTAAAACTCAAGATGTATGTATTAAAAATTATGAAGTAAATCTTTAAACACTAATTTCCTCGAATAAATTCCAGAATGGATTAAGCATGATTTAATTCGCAATAATAAAAGAAGGCATTATTGAGTAGCTTACTTTCTCTAGATTGGCAACAAATCTACTATTCTGCTTTTTCAAATGTAAATAAGCAATGACCGCCATGGAAAAAATTATTAGACTTAGCGGCACTTAAACAACTTTTAAATTGTTGATAATTCTAAAAATAATGCATACAGATATACTAAAGGCATAAAAACCTTAACCGGAAGATAAGAATAGCATAATTCAATCATTTTTAAAGCAAAAAATGCACAATTTACAAACATATAAGAATAAAGAAACTGAGATCACTGAGCCGAGTAACAGAGTAGATATATATATACATATATTTATATACTTTTTGGTGTGACCGATTGCAACCAAAATACGAGGTTCACATTTACGTGTTATAGCAGTCCTATATACAAAATTTCAACATTTTTGAGTTATGCAAGATACATATGTACACACAGATGGCACAAAAAATTCTCTTCAGAATTCATTTTAAATTAATTTTAAATTTTTTTGGGGGGGAAAGAGTCCTTTATCCTGTCCTTGCATACGGATGTTAAGCAAAAACATCGTTAAATTGCATTCAATAGCGGTGAAAATAGATATTTGCATTGAAATATGGTGCCTGAAACTTTTCGCGATTACGATACTTCCTTTTTTCTTCGTACAAGGAAGTAAAAATCAGAGAGTTGTACTAAATCGGCATTGTGCATATTAAACATTGTATCTGTTATAATTCCCCAGCTGTTTTTGATGCAAACATTGTATCTGTTATAATTCCACAGCTGTTCTTGATGCAATACAAATAGGTACTTGATGCAATACAAATACGTTTGGCAATTGACACTCCATTAACAGAAAAGTGCCAGTGGAAGATAATCAATGAAAGTATTTGGAGATGCAACATGGAAAGTTATAAGCGAAAGAAAAGTATACATTCTGGCAATTGGTTCACTAGTCCCAGAATGCCATTTGTAACAGTGCAATGATTTATTAGCTGTTGAACAAAAGAATGACATTAAATTGTGTAAGAAGCAACACATTGATTGCAAAATTTCAATTATTTGTTGGAACAGTTTTATGAAATAGACGTATTCTCGCCATTTAATCCATTTTATAAGTGAATAGTTAGCCATGGAAAAGTTATGGAAATAAACAAAATTCTATTCACATATGGGGGAAGGAAAAAAACAAGACTATTACTTTGAACTGGGTATCTGGCAAGTTTTGCTGCAAAAATAAAAGAAATTCTTTCTCATTTGGGTTCATAATAGATTAATGATTTATTCAGCCTTTTGGTGAGCAAATAAAACATACAAATCCGAGAAAGCTGGTGTGAGTTAATTTATTCTGAATCATAAATTGCATTTTAGTAATCCAACAACAGCTACTCATACAAAAGAGGGTGAAAGACTTAAGGCTCCACTAAATGGTAGAATAACAAACAGCAACATGGCTTGCTGTTATCATAAGCCTTACCTGAGACGTTCATGTGGGAGAAATCCTTCAAATGAGAAAATGCTTTTGAAGCCATATTAAAAGCAAGGTACTTTACGATTATCTACATCCCCACTGAAAAGCTGAAGAAAAGTATTGAAGTTAAAAAAAGTATTCATGTGGCAACTCAAGTATGCACATGATACATGTGGATTTGCACTTTTGAAATTCGAAGGTATTTCTTCTGATTAGTATTTTTTCTTGCATTGAATATATTGGTTTTTATAATGTATCATAATGAAACTGTAGAGTTTACTTTTTTTTTATTTTAATTTTTATTACATTCGAGTTTACATTAAAGTTCCAACTATTTTAGGGCAATCATAGTCATGCCTACGCCTACTGCATAATGCTGTGGTCAAGTTTCTGATGTTTTTTTTTTTAGTGAAAACAGATCACTGTGTACAACGATAGAAGAGCAGACCCCCCCCCTAAAAAAAAATCACAGGATTTCTCAAAAAAGATAAATGTTTTATTTTTTAATGAAAGTAAAAATATGACTGGCATTGGGCACACTGTTGAAATAGATATGCATTAAGACACCCAAATAAACATTACTCCCCAAAATTGCAGTGAGTTTGCAACTCTTTAGTGGTGGTTTCAGATAATCAGAAATAACAAAAGCAATCATAGAAGTAACAAATTATATGTAAGAAGTAAGCATGAACTTAACAGCTATATAACTATAACTTGCTATATAAGAAACTAATAATAAGGAAATACCAAAATTTTAATTTGTACTATGTCCCACTCTGCCTTTACATAACTTCCATTTCCTTAATTTATCTAGACTGCGTAAAAGAATATGAAATCATTTTTAAATATTTAAGATTTTTAAGATGAAATGATTAAGATTATGTATTCACATATTTGCTTGCTATTGCATATAATACATAGTTTTATGTTTTTAGCTTTTATGTTCAGCTTTTTTGCTCATTAGTTAAGTTTCAGATATTTAGGCTGTGAGACATTTTTTTCATTGTTTACTTTCTGAAATCAGTGCTCAATCAATATTTAACTTCTCAAAATTCTGACTTTCCAGACTTTTAGAATCACATTCTTGTAGTTTCATACTTACATGAATTTTTCTTCAGGCTTTCTATGATAGTAAGCAAAAGATATTTACACAATAATCACAAAAGGAAGTTCTAAGACACATAAAAATCATTTAAGAGCATAATTAGAACTTTTTATATAAAATTATTATTAATTAAAAAGACAATTATTAGTATTAGCTTTAAATAGTAATATAATTTATTATGTTGGAAAAAATTAGTGGTCAATGATCCTAATGCTGCTTTATTTCTGAAGAGTATATTTTGAAATGTTTACTTGTGCATTCACACCTACACAAGCATGCACACCATCTATTAATGCATAATTCTTTTTGAAAAATTTTTAAATTAGTTATATTTTTATTATGTGAAGTTAGCATTTCATTCTGAAAAATTTGGAAATCCCTTTCAAAAGCATGAAATATATACAAGTGTCTGAATGTATATATGTTTGTGTGGTATTATGGTTTTAGTATTTAATTTTTAAAATTTTCTTTATTGTATTTCTGTATTTTTTGCATAGCTGTATTAAAAATTCTTTGTTTAGCATTTATTGTGAATATATAGTCTCGGCTAATGAAATAAAATCTCAACAAATAAAAATTCAGAAAAAAAAAAATTAATAGCTCAATAAAAACCATATATATAATAAGTAAATAATTAAATAAAAAATTGTAAGATGTTTCAGAATCCTTTTTTACCACCTTTTTAATTTATAAAATTTTGAGTTTGTCTTCATGTATAACTTGCATTTACTTAAATTTTTGGAAGTCTCAGGGCATTATCTAAATGCTCAAAAATAGCTTTAAACTTTCAAAACCATAAATGCTGTATTCAAAATAAGAAGTAGGATTTTGCAAAATAGATTTTTATTATTTTTGAAACACTGTTTGATGCCAAAGCTGTTTGTGCAACATTTAATGGTTATTCATATATTTCAATATTCCTCCCCCACACGAAAAAAGATTCTGTTTTTTGTGTTAGTGTGCTTAATTATTACAGTTTGCTTGGTTTGTATTTTAATATTTGGTTCTTAACATTTTGGAACAGTATTAAGAAATTTTTAAAGGTAACTTTAATATTTTAGTAATTTATAATGAAATTTTCTTTTTGAACAAAGCTTCTGAAAAATTTATTAGTAGTCTTTTTGTTTAAATATTTCATTATACAGTTAATTGCAAAATATACTTTTTCTGTAGATTATTTTATTTTAAAAAGATAGCTAGTAATAGATATATTTATGTGATTACTTTTTCATTTTGTTACTTTAATCGAGCAGTAATAAATTACTTAAACTTTTGTAGCAGAGAAACAGAATCTTTATTTTTTTGCTTGCTGTATGTATAAATGTGTATGAGCACATGATTGTTGAAATAATTTCCAAGTTTCATAAGACTGTATGTATACATTTGGATTTCATGTATTTCTGCTAATGCCTGAGTAAATGTTATCAAGATTTTTACTCTTTTATCAAATGAATTCTTTATAGCATCAAATGTATGATTTAAAATTTTATACTTAAACTGATAATTTTATCATATTTTCTTTCATTGCAGTTTCTTCCCATATTATGTGTGCTTCTTCCTTTAATATCCTGCATGGTACTGTGTGTTTCTCGTACAACATTTTTTGCTTCTAGATGTTGTCTTCTTTTTTGAAAAACTTTTAGTTACAAATTGTAGCCAGTAATGGCCTGCTGTTTTTCTCTTCAGCTTTTCCTGGAGATAGGAAACTGTATTTAGAACTTACCTGTTTATCAATTAATTTATAAATTTCATTAATTATAAATGAAAGAAGTATCTTAACATCTTGTCCTTTTCTCATCTGTGAAGTTTTTTATATTTGTTTCCAAAATATAAGTCTAATAGTTATAAAATATAACTTAATTGGTAAATATATCACTTCTGCAATTTAGCATTTATTTGTGAAGCAAATAATAGAGAAGGAGATATGAAATCATATCTATCTGAATGATTACTAAAATGTAATATTGTGAACAATTTAGCCTTTGCAACTGTTTTTGGAGCCATATTAAAATTATCCATATTTTATCTTTTGCATAATTTTTATTAATTGGGATCTTTGCATTTTATTAATTAAGAATTAAATTTAAATTGGAAATATAATCTACATTGCAATTCATTTATGTTTCAGTGCGTCAGGTTGCCCTATTGCCAACAAAGGAAAAGTGAGATATGAAGTGATGGCGTTTGATGGAAGACCTATAAAAATCGAGCCAAATGCGTGAGTAGAATTTTTCTGTCTAATAACTTTAGTGGTCATTCAATCACAAATATTTCAAGAAATAAATAATAATATTTATACTTAGTTCTTCATCTTCAAATGATGGAAGCCCAGTTACCAATGGCAGTCATTTGAGCTTTCCGGTGGGATCAAAAGCTACAAAAATTTTTCAGCCTATCAAAAGGCAGAGATTATCAGTGGAAGAACCTGAAAAAAATGGTGAGTCAATAAGTTATATTAATAATCTAATTTTATTAAGAATATCATTAATAGGATATGGATTCAGCAAAATAAATTTTAAGTGATTGATATATGATAAATAGCACTAATTAAGCTTATTACTGATCTGGTCATCTAATTCTGTTATTGATTGCTAGAATTTGAATTTTTTTCTTTTTTCTATTTCGTTCTCCCTTAAAAAAACTAATTAAAATTGCCAGTAGTTTGTATAGATTGATACAAACTATCATAAGAGCAATTTTTTTAAATCCCTTTCAACCAGATTTAAATATCTGTAGGAAAGAGTTTATGAATATTTTTAATTTATTTCCCAACTTCAATTAGTGTGGATTACATTATGACAAACTGAAGGCGAGGGATCTTGTAACATTTTTAAAATTCAGAAGGAATTATGTTTAACAACTATTTCACCCATTGATAATTTTTAAAATCCAGCACTGCATTTTATACTGCACTATTTCATTATGATACATTTTTGCTTCTGGTTTACAACAAACAAAATGTCATACACAAGTCCTAGGAACTCATTCCTCATAGAAATTTGGATTTTTCTATGTCTGGTTTCTGTGCTACATAACAATGAACTCAAATGATATTCCAAAACTAGGTTCTGCATTTATTATATATATTGCTTACATTGACAAAAAATGTTTTAATTAGTTCATATGCATATATGTGAGTAAACATGCATGCATATTTTTTCTGATCTTTTATATTCTTTAACACTTTTTATCCCTTAGGAGATGTGGACAATGATGAAGAAATTCGAGTTCTTGAAGAAGAAATTCTGGAATTGCAGGAATATAATGCTAAAGTGGAATCTGAAATGATAAAACTGCGAACAGACATCTCTCAGATGGAGCAACATATTCGCATGACAGAAAGGGTACGTAAGAGTCAAGGTGGAAGTTTCAGAAATGGTTATTTATTCAAATAAATAAAAAATTCATTGCCGTTTCTTACAGATTTTGCACATTAATTATAACTTATGATTTCAGAACTTCAATAAAATGAAAATGAAATTGTATGATTATTAATTTTTGCTGTTCAGAAGACTTTTAAACATTACAATAATGAAAGTCTTATGCCTTTGAATTAAAGCCTTAGATGCTAGACATGACAGAGGTATTGTGAACTTGAGATGCTGGACATCTTGATATTGCAACGTTAAAAAGTTTATTTATAGTTCCTGCATTTTTGCTATTGGGTAATTTTTTTTTCCAATCAGCTTTTGAATTCTAAATGTAATCTCTCTCCCAATGTCTGTTTTCTTGAAAAAAGCTGCAATACTCTGCCCAGTGGTGTTTTCCTCCTTTTTATGCTAATTCGTCATACATATACTTTATATTTTCTTTTTTTTATATTCTAATGAAATTGATGATGAAATGGTTTCCATATAACTGTTGAAATCTTATACCTAAATTCTTCCTCTTTTCGTGAGGCATAGGCTTTGCAGTTACGTTATGCAAAATTTTTTAATGCCCTGTCTTGTAGTTTCACCACTTTAACTTTTTTATCTTGGATGTATGAGAAATGTTTTTTTCCTTGTTTCTTATAATGTTGTTATATTGTGACCCTCAGAAGTGTTTGATTGTATGGAGGGACCCAGCATTCATTTACCACTTCAAAACACATTCCGTGATTGATGTATTGACAACAGTATTAGACTCCCATAGACTCCCAACTACTACAGATACTCTGTAGTTTCTACGGAAATTCATAAAAAACTACGAGCTACGAAAATTATGGAAAAAACTACTGTTTTTACAGAAACAGAGTAGGAGAACCAGTATGCAAAATGGAACCAACTAATTCATCCGATAATTGGCTGAATACTCGTGTCATCATATATCACGTGTTAAGTGCATTGTTGGTTTTAAAGAATAGCTGATCGTATATCAGTAACACCAATCATTAATGATTTGTCAATAGTTTCCCGGCAACGTTTGTCTACTTTGTCTGTCTCCAAGGTTCGTTGCTGCATGTTTAGCCTGCCTTTGGCTTAGCGAGAGCTTAGCAGTGTGTCTTGTGAACTGTGATTCAGGTGGAGGTTTTTTGTTAATAATGCTACCTTGAACGAAGAAGCCAAAATTATCAAAGCAGAAATTTAGATTCATATTCTTCAGAATTTCCATGCATTAAGGTATCCGAAATTTCTGCGAATCGCACACACTGTAATGCATGCAACAAAGGCTTCTCAGTTGAACATGGCGGAAAAGATGACTGTAAATGGCATGTTTTTCTCAAGAGCACATAGAACATGGAACTGTAAAATCTAAAGAAATAATGAATTTCTTAATAAAAAATGACAAAACAAATCCTATAAAAGCCTAATGCTATTTTGTTCAATTTTTAATTGAACATAATCTACCGCTTTCTGTTTTGGATCATTCCAAAGAGCTTTTCAAAGCAATGTTTCTGGATTCTGCCATAGCAAAAAAAAAAATTAGCTGTGGTCCTACCAAAACTGTTGCTATAGTGAAAACGCTTGCACAAAGTACTGTTGTCGCTATTATAAAATCCGTGTGCATACATCATTTTCTCTTAGTACTGATGGAAGTAATGATAACAAACTGTACCCATTGATTATAACATATTACAGTAAAGGAAAGGGAGTGATAATTACATCATTAATTTCTATTTTAGAATGCACGAATAATACCGGAGAAGGTATTTTTAATTGTATAAATGAAAACCTTAAAAGCATAGGTTTAGAATGGAAAACTTGCTTATTGTTTTCTTCAGATAATGCTAGTAATATGATTCTAAAGTTTAAAGGTGTAGCATCATTTATCAAAATGCATCAACCAAGTATTAATCATCCAAGGTTGTCCATGCCACCTCTTGCATATAGCTGCAAAAAAGGCTACTGAAAAATTAATTGGTTCAGAAATCGAAATGAATGGAAATTTTTCCATTCGGAATTCCATTTCAATTGCGGCGTGCAATGAATTGGAAGATGATCTGTCAGTGCTATCCTTATCTTCAGGGCAGATGTTTTTATTTTATTCGCCTTATAATTCATTCATTTATTCGGCTGCAACTTACTAAAAGTAGTATTTCATCTCAATGTACTCCGTCTTTGATATGATTTAAATCAAATTCCTCGTCATTATAATTATCACGAATACACATCAAATAGTTTTCTGGTTGCAATTTTCTAATTTCAGCTATGCATGATGTATGCTTTACGCATGCATGCGTTGAAAGAAATGTTTAATAAAGTAAACAAATAAATATTAAGCTTTTTTTTGTAAATTTTGATACCCTTTAAATCATAATTTCTCTTTATTTCATAAATTACGGTTTCATATTTTTAATTTTATAATTTCTGCATGCCATCTTACCAGATTTAAACTGATGATCTATAATTTGGAAAAAACGATAATCCGGAATCGCCGGAGTCCTGACGAGTCCAGATTAAAAACTTTTGACTGTATTGCCTATTGTAATGCTTGCTGTCTTAATAATACCTCATTTAAATTCAGCTTGCGAAAGAATTTGTTCTATTGTTAAAAAAATCAGATGGAATATCGACCAAATTTAGGTCCTAAACTATTGAAGCAGTTTTGATTGAAAAAATAAATAGGCGAATGAAGAACTTTGTTATAAAAAAACATTCTCAAAATCAGAACTCAAGCATGCTACATAGAAATCTTTGCATTCGTAAATTATAAGTATTTTTTTAATTATTATTTGTTATTTAAATTTTATTTCCCTGTGGAAATCAAATCCAGAATAAAGATATATGATTTATGGATTCTGATTTTTTCTATGATTAGTAGTGATTTAAAATACTTGCTTTTTTCATATATTAGTAGATTTAGTGATATGGCTTGAGGAGTTAAATGAAAATTTCTAATTAAATGGGCATATAATTTACCAGGCATATTTTTAATTATTCAGTTTTATATGTATATAGATTTTAAATGTAATAAAATTGATTACAATTAATGATTAATTAAAATTAATGAATGGTTAATTACAATCATTACACACCCATTATCAAAGTTGTAAAAATGTCGTTCGTGCATTGACTACTGACAAGTTTTGCTGCAGGTTGGAGTTTATGGACTTCCGATTAACCAGGGTAATATTGTGAGCAACAGCCACAATCAGCCAAAAGTTGTGGTTAATCTGATAGCAGGTTTAAAAAAAAAAAAAAAAAAAAAAAAGAAAGAGGATTAATAAATATTATAATTACCACCAAAATATTTATATTGGTAACAGTTTATCTGTATTTTTGAGCAGTTTTATCTGGATAATAAGTTCAGTTGGCTGTGCAAATTAAATCAGCATTCGAAACAAGAACTTTCTTTAAAATAAAAAAAAAACTATATTTTGTTTTTCTCTCTCTTGTATGCCAGTGAAGAAATAGAAGATTAATGGTTGTACACTCAGGTTTTTTTTTTTTTTTTTTTTTAAATTCAACATTTTATTTTTAACAGATGATTTAACAATGTTTATGTATTTCAAATTTTGTACCATTAAATTACGCACTGTTACACATAAAAACAATTCATAAATACTTTAGTATCATCTGCTAGCACTGCTGTTATCCCATGCATATTCTGATAGTTTTAGATAATAATTTTCTATTGTTTGGCCATAAACAAACTTGGTATTTTCAGATAACGTCAATTTAATATGCCACCCATTTAATTGATAGTTAATTGTAAATCTTTGCAAAGGTGGTGACCATATTGCATACAAAAATGACCTTGTAAGGTAAGTACAAGGCCATTTTCATCCTTTGAAAGAAAAAAAAAAAAAGAAAAAGGAAGAAAGAAAGAAAATCTGAAAGCTTTTTAGCTTTATGCCCAAACAGACTTTTTTTAAATGTTTTGTGTGTTACTGTTATTGATTAAATATCATGCTCTTTAAACTTAAAACTACTTAAACCATAAAAATCAATTCAACAACAATATCACAAAATAATTTTAAAATGAGCAAATCTTTAGAATTTCCGATACACAGTCTTGCATGCTGGAGATGGAAAAAAAAAAAAAAAAAAACAATACAACAGTGTTCAGTGTTGCCATTGCTCATTTTGAAATCATTGAGTTTGTTAATCAAAAATTCGTTAAAATGTTACAAAATATGAAATCGATAATAAAACAAATTCCAAATTAGGGCTTCCATATGCCCATATTTGATGGAAGATTACATTATTCAAAATTTGATGCTCTAGGTACTGTTGTTTTATCATAATGCAAGAAACGTGCAGATTCTTCATTATTTAATTTCTTTAAATATAACACAGGCTGATAATATATGGTGGCAAAAATTTGAAAAGTGATTCACCGTTTATAGTGAATCGACGCAAAATGCCAAAACGAAATTAATAGCTCTTCTGGGCTAATGCCCTTTGGTTTTAAAAAAAAAACCTAGTATTTCTAAAAGTGGGCACTCTGTGCCATACTGTAATACTGCAACTGTAGAAAGTTTTCTGATGTGATTCACTAAGATTATTATCAGTCCAATATCACTCATGTTGCTTCTGTAGACCACAAAGCAGTTCAAAGTGTACTTCATCTGACATTATTTTTCAAAAAATAAAATGTGTTTCCTCTTTCACTAAGTTCTAAAATTGCTCACAGAAAGCTCTTCGTGCAATTAAATAGCATTCTGACTATTTCTGTATAATCTTGGTTTATATGGATGATAACTTAGGTTAAAATGTTAAATTTGACAGATTGAACTTCTTAATAGGTTAAATAACAATGCATGCTTATGTGCTGGGTGTTTTAGGCTCCAGGTGACTGCATTCCTTACGTACCCAATGTTGCCATGATTGCTGTGATTTCACACTTCTTTCTAGTTTCTTGTCCATTGCGCCAGTTACGTGAAACTTCGTCATTCAATTAGTGATTGTATGGTAATCGAGTATCTTCCACGTCTTCTAAAATTGAACTGCCAACAGTTGTTGCATCATTATCCTTAAGTTTACCATTACCAAATGCACGATATGCAGCTGATCAACGATCCTTGTTTGCTGAAATGCTATCTTTCATTAAATATGTTTGCCTGTATCACATCATCCCTACTGTAAGTCCACATGAGTATTATTTAAATCAAAATGGCTGATGAATGGGAATCCTTCAGTACATTTGGCAAAACAGATTTCTTAGGTGTGTGATAGGCCATTTTGAGTGCATTTAAAAAAAAAAAAATCAAAAAACTTTTTCAACTATCTCTTGAACTTTTATGAGCTTTTTCTGAGGATATGCTGCATGCAAATGTATTTTCAAATTCCACCAACACTACGTTTCTTAAACAGTTTGAGAGCACATTGAATTTTTACAGCCATAGTTTCATTTGGAGCCTTTTATAATCCTTTAAATAACTTTCTTTGTTATAACACTAACTTGTCATCATCTTTGTGGAGTGTCAGCAGCTCCACTGCATTGTGGTGGAACTTAGATTCAAGCTATGAAACTAAATAATTAAATTTCATTTCTGAAACGATATTACTAATTTTGAACTGCGCTTCAACTTAAAAAAGTCATATTTCCGGTTTATCAGTCCAAAAAGAAGATATTTTTACACTCGCCTTATGACGTTTCGGTGACTGCTCCCAGCAGTTTCAGAAGAGGCGTTTGTTGACAATACAAAAGTAAATCAAGGTCACAAAGATGTGGCCTTGGCTACTAACATTCAAACTAAATTATGATTAGGAACAGCAAAAATTATAATATAATTTTTGCTGAATTTTTGTTTATTTGTTTGAATAAACAAATAGCTAAGTGTATTGCTTTTTGTTTTTCAGTTATCAAAATGAGCCCCTGCTTGAATAAACCAAAGTAATCATGAATCATAACTCATTGCCACTCAGCATAAAAGAAATATAAATATAAATATGAACTACTTGTTGCCATTCAGCATAAAAGAAATATGAATATTAACAAAATGTTAAAGTTAATTTTATGAAAAAATTAAACACAGAAAATATAAATACTTGAAATAAAAAAATTATTATTTCTCCTGCAATAACTGGGCCATTACAGGATCATGTAATATTACAGCAGTTTGTCAGGAAGCAAAACATAATTTCATGTGATCAACCACTTTTGTGAATTTATTTCTGGAAGAATTTTAAAAATTTGAATAATATTTTATAACATTTTTAAAGCCAATAATTAGAAATAAAAACTAATCTATTTAAGAAACAAATCTGCACTCAAGCAACTAGAATAAACAATTTCAGCAGGTAATAACATAATCTAGAATGAATAAACAGTATCAGTTATATTAGCCAGAAATTGATCAAGTTTTTTTAATTAATTTTTTATTTATATGGATAAAAATTTCCATGCTGAAATTTCTTAAGATTACTTTCCTTCTGCCATAAACTTGAGCCTTCATAGAAGCCTTTTATAAGAAAAATTAAGTACTATTTAAATGTCTTATGAAGAAGGAAATGCAGGCAGCATCTGTTCCATTGCTTTGAAATAAACTTTTGGCTACTAATTGGTTAAATAATTTTTTATTGTGTATAATTAAGACTATTATACTATGAGTTAGAGAAGCTAATGTATTTTTCATGTTTATTTAAATATCTTCAAATAATATTTTATTCTTTCGGTTTTAGGATAATCAATCTCTTGCCCAGAAGAACCACAATTTAACAGAATATTATGAAACACTGCGGAACAATTTTATATCTTTGTTAGATCATGTAAGACTTCCAAACTTTGATGAGAGACCTACACGAGAAAATTTTGATGCCTATTTAACAAGGCTGCAGACACTTTGTTCAGAAAGTTGCCGGGAAGAAAACAGAGCGATTTTGTCTTCGGTGAAACAAGCTCTTCAAGATTTTAACTTCCCATCGTAAGTGTTCTCATATAGAGTAAAATAGTTGCTTCTCTTTCCTTATTCATATTCAGAATTGCCTAATATTTTTTACAAATATTAGTACAGTCAAAAGTCGTTAATTCGGACACCCATAATCCGGAATGATCTATAATCCGGACCTCAAAGCTACAAACTTTCTGCGCATGCGTCGCGTTCACGCATGCGCACAGGCGTTTACGAGAGCGCGTAAGACCCTTACGGCTGCGAATATGTTTGTGCGCATGCGCGTTTAATGTGTAACGGAGTTATACGCTAAGCTAAAGTTATCTAATTCAGTTAATGTTGCAGATTGCGTTGTTCCTTAATCTTCGAATTGGATCCAGCTTATTATTTTTTGCAGACTGTTAGAGCAATTTTATAAAAGTAAGCTTGAACTTTCGATTATGTCAAATAGAATTTCCGATATATATTTACTACAAAGCGAAAGTATGTTTTGAAATCCGAAATCTGTTTATCAATTTCACGCTGCTCTGCGGCAGAGGGGGGGGGGGGCAGAAACGTCATTATTAGATTATGATAGATTAGAAAGATTATGTCAAATAAAATTTCCGATATATATTTACTAATTTGTAATTTGTATCTGCAAAGCGAAAGTATGTTTTGAAATCTGAAATCTGTTTATCAATTTCACGCGGTGGATTGGAAGTTAATCTGTCAGCACTATCCTTATCTTCAGGGCAGATGTTTTTATTTTATTTGGTTTATAATTCCGTACTAAGTGTAGTATTTTATCTCGATGTATTCCGTCTTTGATATGATTTAAATCAAGTTCCTCGTCATTATAATTCGCTTCCGATAGTGAAGAAAGGGACCCAGAGGTTATTGAAAACGAAAATATTTCGATTGACAAATTAGTCGGTATTCTCAACACAGCAATTATAGGACTTGAACAGCGGAACTTTGTAACTAAACAAGAAATTATGTCTGTTTAATAGAATTAAAGAGAAAGTATTATCACATGAAACGAAGCAACTTACATTGAACGAAATGTTTAATAAAGTAAACAAATAAATATTAAGCTTTTTCTTTTTGTAAATTTTGATACCCTTTAGATCATAATTGTTCTTTATTTCATAAATTACGGTTTCATATTTTTAATTTTGTAATTTCTGCATGCCATCTTACCAGATTTAAACTGATGATCGATAATCCGGAATCGCCGAAGTCCCGAGGAGTCCAGATTAACGACTTTTGACTGTATATACAAAAGCCTTAAAAAGTACATTTTAATTGAAGAAAATATGAGATTACAAAACAAAATTGTGCTTTTAAATACTTACTTGAAAGAAAACATGCTTCATTTTATGAGAAATTTGCCAAACATTTCATTTGAATTGAGAGAGAAAAATGTAAATAAATAGAAATTTGAAAATGTCAAGTTTGTTGTCATTTCCTCTTTGTTTGAAACTTGTACATATTTTATATACATTATTAATAAAATGTTCGACCTCCAACTGTTTGTTTATTTTGTAATTACATTATTTTTGCTATTTTATGTAGCAAAATTATACACAAAATTTAAAAATTCGTTATATATTAAGCTAATTCAATAATATTAGGTAGGTGCAGAACATTTACAGAAACTGCAAAATGTTTATAAAGCTTAATTCAAAATTCTTTATATTATTTATTTTAAAACTTATTTACTTGAAAATTATTCAGGATATGAAAATTGATTTGGCTTGATTAAAATTTTAATTCTGTGTTATAAAACTTTCAGTGTACTTTAAAGTTCTGACCATTAAAAATCTCAAATTTCGTGTCAAGTTTTAAAATCTTCATTCAGTCAGTCAACATTTTATTATATAATATATCTCTCAGTTTAGTGTCATTGCTTTCATATTTATTCTAATGCAGGATATTTTGAAAATTTATTGCATAAATATTCTCAAATTTCATTTTTAAACAAAGTAATCTGTTACTATTTAAGTCCTTTAAATTCCTGAAATAAAACGCTTTATAAAGTATAAGAACAAACTTACATTGATGATAATATGAAAAAAAAGGTCTCCTTCCCCAGGATTAAAAAAGGAGGAATATGTATTTTCATCTTTATACTCGGATTTCAGTTTAACACCTGACACAATTTTTTTTTTTTTGATACTTATCTAATAGCACAGCAAGTAAAGTTGCCGAATTTTCAGAATGCACCAAACTCTCTCAAATATCACATAATAATTTTTTAATTTTAACATGCAATATCGCTGGTTTTGATGTTCATTCATTTTATTGTATTCCAAATTTTAACGGTTTAATTTTGTGTAAGTATGTTTTTGGGATAAATTTTTAATTAAAATGTAAAATATATGTGCAATAATAAGTGTAGAGTAAGTTTTTGCAATTATATCGTCTTTATTATTATTATTATTATTATTTTTTTTTTTTTTAATTTCCTTTCTGAGTAGTGCTAATATGCAAATACCTTTCTCTTTTTCTAAAAAGGGTAAGAAAAATTTATTTTTAGAATTGATTTCTTCTTATTTTTGACACTTTTTACATTCTGCCACACAAAGAGTTGTGTGGAAATGCAAAAACTTTTGTGAATGTTTTTGCAATGGGAAATGACATTTATTCTCACATATAACTTCTAAATTGTACTTCAATTGTCATATTACTCTAATAGCATAGTGTTTAGGTTTGATTAGCAATTCCTGTCCTGTTTTTGAAAAGATGTCACTGAGAATATTGCCATTTCCCAAATTAATTCATACATCGAAATTCCCACTATATGTCATTTTCCAGTATCATCTAAAAAGTTTCAGTAATGTTATTTGCATTGATTTCTGGCAAGGGATATAAAGATGTCAGCCAAATTTGATTTCAAAATTTTTTCACAATCAACTGCTTTGAATGAACCATGAATATGTACTTTTTCTTCTTTAGCAAGTTACAACTTGTAGATCATGGGTTCCCAAAGTTTATTTTATCACGCCTCCTTGCTGCCAAAAATGAAAATTTCTGTGCCTTCCCCTTCCCAATAATAATATTACCTACCTGTAAGGAAAGTAAAAACAAAAAACATAATTTATAAAGGTTTTATTATAGAAATCTGCTGTTTCAGGCACATGGTAAGGGAAAAAAATTAATAAATGAGATGGATGTGCTTGCTTTCAACAAGATATTCATTTCTTGGTTCAACAGAAGAAAGTGTGCAACGTAAATCATTAGCTATACTGCATTGGCTTCTATACTTTGTTTTTATTACTACAACTGCTGAAAATGCTCTTTCTCCCAAGTAAGTTTTTGAAAACTGAACAGTTGCAGTGAATGCTGGGATAAACTTTGAGATATTTTATCCAAAATAATGGCTTATCCATCTTCTCAAAGTCATATTTGGCTACAGAATCATTTTTAATTTCCAATACTTGCTCTTTATTGTTTCTGGCAGGACATTTAAATTGATGTGAAAATGATCAATTGCCAGTCTATAAATATTATTACCACACAAGTTAGGGATGTAACTTTTGAATTTATGAGTGGTGTGCTGCAAATGATTTGATATTTTATCCTTAGTATCAATATCCTTAAACACCTTCTTAAAGTGCACTTCTTCCAGAATTCCACATAATTTGGGAAAGCAGGAATAATTGCATGTTAAAATTTTACATTCTCAGAGTTGCAACTTGTGCATATGTGCTCTGATGGCATTCCGATAGTAAATTATGTTCAAATATCCACCTTGCAATTTCAAATTTCAATGAGTTTTACGAATTGAAAATATCTGATAGGTAAGCCAATACAACTTGACACTTGGCTTTCAGAATTCAGCATACAGTTCTGTTTGATTCTGAATTTTCAAAAACTGAATCACTTCAGCTTGAAATTCAAATAATCTTGCTAGCATATTTCCCTTTATGAGCTAATGTACTTTGACATGAAATAACAGCGTTTTATGTTGTGTTCCCAAATCTTCACTAAAGACCATGAAAAGTTGAGTATTTTAACAGTTTTGATGCTTAATTTTAAGATATCGTTGAGTTCATTTAGAAATATCTTAGCTGCCAAGGCTTAATGGGGTATAACAACATGAATAGCAGTAACATTGGGATTTTTTTTCTTCTGACCATCTCTACAAATCCTAAGCAAGATCCAGCCAATGATGAATACCGTCTGTGTTAACTCCATAGAAAGCAGCATCTTGTTTGTAGTACCAAATGAGAACTAACAGTTGACAACATATTGCAACATCCAATTGTATTACAAAACAAATTTGATTCTTTTACGTCCTGTCCTAACTGATTTTTTATGTCTTCAACCATATCATCAATGTGATGTGTCACAGTGTTGTCAGAAAGCAGTATTTGTGAAAGTTTTTGTTTACTTTCTAGTCCAAGAGCAATATCAGCTGCTTTTTAACACGCATGGTTTGATGAGTGTTTCTCTGATAATATGATTTTTGTTGGCCTTTGTGATGAGTAGGGATAACTCGTACAAAGCTTTGAACACTTTTTCAAAAGTGTTAGCAAATGTATCCAATATTATCCATGTTCATATGTTTCAAACTTGCACATTTTGCAGCAAAAAACTCCTTTGACTTATCTTTTAATGTGCTATGTTTTATTAACAAGTGTTGCTCCAGATGAGGTCTCATGGCATCATTGCTCGGTACTTCTTAACAAGTAATACATTGTGGCTCGTTGACATCATGTTTTTAGTTGCAGTAAAACCATATTTAATATAATCATTATTATATTAGTGTTTTTTTGCCGAACTCATGTTAAATTTTTTAAAAAAACAAATCGACAATGTATTTTGACATCAAAAATCCACATAATTGCATTGCTTGTGTAATCGATACTTACTTCGATACTGAATTGAGGACCAACCAAACGTACACATATCATATATGTTCTTTGGCCCAACTAAGACACTAGTACAGCACAGCAGGGTGGTGCAGGTAGTGCAGTACTGTTCGCCTCCCCCCAACTTTGAAAATCAGTATTCTATATTATTCATTTATTAATATACCTTATATTTTAAGCCATGATTTTTCCAAAATAAGTAAAAATATTGTGTCTAACCAGCTCAAAAGTGTAAAATTTCATGTATTTTTTTTTTTTTTTTTAATTTGTGGAAAAACAAAATTTCAAGCTATAGTCATCACAGAAATGCTTTTCAAAGCGCTGAAAATTTCACAGATTGCTACTAAATCCTCATTCAGATTTGTGAAATAAAAATAAGTCCATGGTAGTTTGTTTTGTAAACTAAGCAGTGATGATAGGCCTGCTAATGAAAAAAAAAATTAAAGCCCAGAAATTGAAAGTGCAAAGTATGAAACTAGGTATTAAAAATAGCAACGGGAATTCACAACAAAGCAAGAATTGTCTAGTTTATTTTATTATTTCATCATGAGGTCTGCAGTCTTTTCAGCTACAATTCCTATCTCAACCAAATAGCTTTAAGATTTTCAAATAATTTTCTTGAATTGTTTATACACTAGCGAGTATCATTACTTCATTATATTGAAATAAATAGTATAAAACTAAACCGTCTGTTGGTTTTGTTAATAGATTAGGTGATAAATAAGTTTCTGTTAATTTCCGTGACTTACCAAATGTAAGCACAATTGAAGTTTTGTTAGAAAGTAGCTGGAACCTTTTGTTAGTGGAAGCTCTAAGGATATATATATATCTGCTAGTCTTGATATCTGTGCATACAATTTAAGCAATTTGACCATTGATACATTTGGAACTTTTTGCTTTGAAATAATGTTTGGGCAAAGAGAATGCAAGTTTAGTGTATTAGGTGGATACTGTTTTGGTGTAATATGGAGTAGCATGACTACAAGACATTTTTACTTAGAGAGGCCTCCATGAAGACATCACAATCCTTGGATGCTTGTGATGTACTATTTGGTTTGTTAACTACTATATTATATACTAGCAGCTTCGCTGCCAGCCTTCGTCTGGCTTTTAAATGTACTGGAAAAATGGCTGAAGGAAACACCAAATGAAAAATTTAAAAACTGCATAGAATTTTACTGTGCAGAACAACATCATAAAAAAAGTTATTACGTATAACAAAATTACAATGAAATAAGCAATATCCCTTAATACAAATATTAATTATCCTAATAAATAAATTAACCAACTTACCTTTGCAAAATCTTAAGAACTCAAATGGTATAAAGGAGGTTAAGAACTTTGTTTCCTAAAAAAATCACTTAAAACTTTTCAATATCTTAAAAACAGTGAAATGAGCAATAAATAACATAAAAGAATACAAAAAATTCTGAAAAGCAAAGTATAATTAATAATATTTTATCTTATATTTTCAAGAGAAAAAAATTACAATGAAATAAGCTATATCCCTTAATACAAATATTAATTATCTTAATAGAAAATTAACCAACTTTCCGTTGAAGAACAAAAATCATGCAAAACTTTTCAATATCTTACAAACAGGGAAATAAGCAAAAAATAACATGAAAGCAACTCAAAAAACAAAAAATTCCACACAGAATTTTACTCTGCAGAACAACTTTATCAAAAAAAAAAATCAATAAAAATGTATTATATATATATAAAAAATGACAATGAAATATGCCAATCTCTTAAAAACAGTGACATAAGAAATACGATGAAATATTGTTGCCAAACCTATATTTCTAAAAGAATGAAACTATTCAAAATGATGGGATTTCATCAAAAATCTATTAACAACAATAAGACAGGAAAATTGTTGCCAAAATCACATTTTTAAAGATGTGAGATGCGAGAAGTGTACTCGGAAGCTTCATTTAAAAATTTTTTTAAAAATACAAAATATTATCATTTTTTCAAAATTATTTTTTTAAAAACAGTTGCAAGGATGAAAGTTTAACGTGTCCAAAAATCAAAGAAAAATAAATTGTACATTTTTAAAAATAAACGTTTTTAGGAAAAATCCCATTGAAAAGGTGTTAAGCTCACTTTGTTAAATAAATTCGTATTTAACCGATTTATTGAAACACGAAATTTATTTTAAGCTCGTAAAATAGCTAAGTGCCCACGTTTAATGATGATGTGAAAATGGAGTGTGTAGAGTAAAATTTCGCTTTCCTATAGCTCATTATGTCTCAAAATGACGCAATTTCATCACAAACTAATAAAATAAAAAAAATTCTAATTCGAATTTCGAAAAAGTCGCTTTGAGGTGCACTGGCTCTTGTCTAGATGCACCTATGTACCAAATTTTGTAGCCGTGGGTCTATTAGCTTATGCGAAGCGCGAACGAAAGACACACACACACACACAGACAGACTCTTTATTTTATTATATGTAGAGATATGCTTGTGATGTAATTGGTTTGTTAACTACTATAAAATGTATTTGGTTTGTTAACTACTATATTATAGGTTAGAGCCATCACCTAACCTTTAATATAGTAGTTAATAAACCAAATACATCAGATTGAATTAAACAGAAATTATCCGGACTAATATTTTTATGAACACTTTGCTCTGAACTTTTGCTGTTGTGTTACTTGATGAGAAAAGTCATTCAAAAGTAATTCAGCATTTGTTTACTTATTTTCTAATTAAAATGAGTAGACATTAAATATGCATTTATGTCTGCTGTCTAACAAAAAATACAGTTTTCATTTTTCTTTTCTAGAAGTGCTGCTAGTGGCTGGCTAAGATCATGAGTAGTCTTCATGCCAAGATAATTGTGATATATTTATAGTTGTCATAAATTATTTTTATTTGCTTAATGTGATCGTTGAAACAAAATTGTGTTTAATGTTAAAAACTATGAAAGGAATGGAAAGTGCTTATTGTAAAACTTTTCCATACTCGTTTGGTGATGTAAAAATGTCCCCTTAGTATTTTGGAAGAGAAATATAATTTTTGTTGTTTGCACTTCTATTGTATTTTTATTGTAAAAAGGTGTGCATTTTTAAAATGGTAAATGTTACTGAGATGAATGTCATTATTTTAAAATATTTAATATTTTCCTGTTTCAGTAACAAGTCATAGGATATTTCTATGTAATGTTTCAAGCTAATGACCATTTTTATTTTCTTTCATTAAAATTATAAGCAGATTATGGAAATTAATGCTTTGCATTAGTATAGCATTGATATTTATTTAAATATTTTTGTCCTTTAACAATCAAAAGGCAAAGTTATCATTTGCCTTATGTATATTGTATATGTATATATATATGTATGTTCTACAGTCTTGATTATGAAGACTAATTTCATTAAACTAGTCTTATTAAAATGTTAGGTTCTGCTTGAAATGTGAATAAACTTAAATGATCACTTAACAGAATATTATGTAAAACTGATTATCTGTTGTAAATTATACTTAATTATTATTGTCTTATTATACTTAATTATTAAGTGAATGTTTGCATAACTGTTTGTTTTTCTGTTGTTCTGAAAGCTTAGTATATTTTCATATAATCAAAAAGTAATATTTCTAAAGGGCAACTGTGTATAAATTGCTTTTAATAGTAAAAAGAGTAGTAATGATGTTGCTAATTTTAAATGAATAAAAAGTAAATTTATAAATCATAATATAATTAAGAATTAAAAACTGTGAACAGCGGTTTTAGTTTATTTTTTGGTTTTTAAAGTTGTCTTTTAGTGTTAACTTTGCATTGCTTTCTGGGTACATCAGAATTGTATTGCATTCTACTGCACTACAAATATAAATTCAGGCTGTGATTATGCAAAATTTTGGAATCTGACCAAGCATTTATTGATGTAAGTTAAGCAGAATTCTTTAAAATATATATATGTATGATGAGATAATTTAATGCATAGAAGGAATCTGTGTACGTTAACAGCTTGCAGTCGCCATGGCCTGGGGTTAAATGCGTACTGACAAAGATAACAAAACTGGATTTCCACAAATCACCAATCTCTATTTTCAAGCATATCAAATCATTTGCTTTCTTAGTGAATCAAATATTTCTAGATCATTAGACATTATAATGATTTCTTATATACATAGGTTAATGGGGACAATATCGTTTTAGAGGGACAAGCAGAGCAGCGAGGATATGTTATCAGTGGCAAAGCTAGGAAAAAGAGTTACATAATTTAGCTTGCAAGCAGTACTTATACCGAAGTAGATGCAATTGTAAAGACATGCTATGATTGGTTAATTTTAGATGCCATTGTAGGGACACACTATGATTGGTTAATTTTAATTTTAGTTACCTTTTTCAATGTTATATAACATGGAAAGATCTCCAATTTGGGAGAACAGATGAATGTAGGGGGAGAGCATAAAATCTAGAATCACTAATTTCAAGATCGAAAATTATTCTTAAAGCAGCTATCATATTTTGTCACATCTTACATATATATACACACACCTTTTTTTGTTTTATTTTTACTTAAAAATCACATTAGTCTATACTGGTATGAATGACAGCTTAATTATCTTTAATAAATGCCGAAGAACAGATGATAAAACTAAGCTATTTTAATGAAATATTCTTTTTATTTTTACTTTTGTAACTGTCTAAGGTTTAAAAAGTAGTTATACAGATTTAGTTATCTCAAGTTCCTTATTTATGCTGGATTTTTTTCTATCTAATGTGCATGTAATAATTATTAAGCAGTTGGCCTAAAAATTGCATTTTTATTTGAATTTTTGAAGCCCTAAAAAAAACCCAAAGTTATATTGTTTTTTATATTAATACATATACATATATATATATTAACAAACATGTATATACGTAAAAAGCAAATTTAAAGTTAAAATAATTTAAAAATGTGCAAACATATAAAAGATTTAATTTTCGAACTAATCTACAATATCATTTAAATTCAGATAGCATAAGTAAATCAAGTGCAAAACCAAACCATGAAAATAAATTCACCAATTAGCAAATTAAAATTAATCTAAAATTTTTTTTAAAAAAATGCATAAGTGAATGACTGTTGAGCAGGCAGGAGACAGACTTATCAAGGGGAAGTTGCCTCCAAACCATATCTCTACAATTCGTGTTCCTTCATTCATGCAGGCAAGGGTAAAAGTCAAAACCAAAAGTAAATACATAGTGAAGAATGTCCAAAAAGAAATACCAACTAAAATAAAGGTCTAAAAGGAAAATACCAATAATGAAGCATTTTGAGAATTAAGCAATGTAAAGTCTAGTATTAAATTAAATAAAAAACAAATAAATACTTAAAAATAATTACATACCTAGTAAAAACTTAAATACTACATAAAAAATACTTAAAAAATACTTAACAGCAAGTAAATAGTAAGTTTTAATTCTAACTTACCTACCATAAGTATTTTTATGTAGCATTTAAGTTTTTTCTAGGTATGTAATTATTTTTAAGTATTTATTTGTTTTTTATAAATTATGAATTAGTTCTTTTTAGTTTCTTATTTGTTTATATAAATTATGTTCCCTTTTAGTTTCTTTTTGATTGATATGCATATTCGTGTCCGGGAGGTTTCTGTAGACAAGGGTTTCTAAAATGTATTGGTTTCTAAATTTCTGAAAAATGTAATTAAAAATTTTTTTTAATTTAATTTAATACTAGACTTTACATTGCTTAATTCTCAAAATGTTTCATTATTGGTAGTTTCCTTTTAGACCTTTATTTTAGTTGGTATTTCTTTTTGGACATTCTTCACTATGTATTTACTTTTGGTTTTGACTTTTACCCTTGCCTGCATGAATGAAGGAACACGAATTGTAGAGATATGGTTTGGAGGCAACTTCCCCTTGATAAGTCTGTCTCCTGCCTGCTCAACAGTCATTCACTTATGCATTTTTTTAAAAAAATTTTTAGATTAATTTTAATTTGCTAATTGGTAAATTTATTTTCATGGTTTGGTTTTGCACTTGATTTACTTATGCTATCTGAATTTAAATGATATTGTAGATTAGTTCAAAAATTAAATCTTTTATATGTTTGCACATTTTTTAATTATTTTAACTTTAAATTTGCTTTTTACGTATATACATGTTTGTTAAAATTTAAATTTCATTCCTTGCAGCAATGGCGCAAAGAATTAATTAAATTTGTATTTAAATTCAATTTATTCTTTTATACGTATATATATATATATGTTATGGCTTAAAATATTTTTTAGCTTTTTACTAATTAACTTATTTGTCTTTCATCATGCTGTATATTTCATATTTACTGATTATATGCATAAAATTCAAGTAGAAGATCTTACTCTGAAAAGAATATAAAATGTAGTTATGCATTATATTTAAATTTCTTTCATTTGAAATATATGAGATTTTTAGACTCACAGTTTATTAACTTGTAAAATTTTAAAATACCATATAAGAGCATTGAAAGCATTTATGTTTATTCTGTTTGAAGAAAGAACTTTTAGCATTTTTATAATTTATAAATTAACAAAATTGATTTAATGCTAATTCAAGATGTTTAATATTAATAGTTAGTGATTAGTTATATAATGTTTTCCCTTAGTCATTTATCTTACATAATTTCAATTACGTAACAGTTTTCCTACTATTTTAGAAGAAAGAAAATAAAATCAATTTGGGAAATTAACCATTTCTAATTGTTAAGGAAAAAAAAATTGCTTATAAAATTACACATTGGATTCTTCTTATAATAAGCTACCTGTAATATCATTGCTTACATCTTTTTGTAAGAATATAGAATTAATCATTGCTATTGCTTTTATGCAATAGTTTGGATTAATATATATATATATATAGTTTTGCTTAAAAGAAAATGTACATATAACTTATCTGAATAATGTACAACTTATCTGATCATGGAGAAAATGCCTTCAACTAAGCAATACGTCAAGAAATAAACTTGTATTGTTTACTGTATTTTTATGTTTCTAAACTTTTTAATTACTCAAGTCAGTACCAAGTGCTATATGTTCTTTAAGTGTATGGTTATTTGTTTAAGTTTAATATACCTGCATGTACCAAAAAGTTTGATTTCTAAAATTTTAGTAATTATTCAAAATTTTCAATTAAAAAGAAATCTGAGGAACTATGTATATCTTTACCATGAGAAAGGTCATAGTAAAGACTGTTGCTTTTAATATTAAGTGTGCTTCAAAAATTTTGTAATAATTAGTATACTGCATATCTAAAAATCAACAATTTCAACGACAGTAATTTCTTATTGCTTATAATGCTCACTAGACACATTTCTGGACTTCGGGAACTGAGGTGAAGTGCAATGAAGCAAAATAAGAAATGTGTTTTAAAAAAAGTATAATTTGAAAAACATGTAAATAATTAATTTTATATCAAAGCATGCTATCTATGTAAAAAGAATTTGATTGTAAAAATTTCAAATATCTAAATATTCCAAGAGTTTTAATTTCAAGTCCTAGTTTAAAGTATATGGCAGAATTTTATATTGGCATCATATACTCTGACATTTTTTTGATGAAACATGAGAATTTATAATTATGTATATAAATGTATATTTTAATTTGATTGTCATAAACAGAAGTTATTAATACATATTGATTGAAAAACAAAAGACCGAAATATCAATATATAAATTGCTAAACTTATTAAGAATCTTGTAATGAAGCTATGAATTATAAAATGTTATTTGGGAATAAAATATCTTGTAAATCTTTGTATTGTATCATGCATGTAATGTAAATTATTCTGAATTTTTACTGATAAATCATTAAAATATATTATATGTTCTTAACCATAAATTTCCCAGTGTTGTATCTATTGAAGACAAACTTTCATACCTTCTAACTGAAAATTTTTATAAAATATTTCCGTGGAACTTTTGTAATTTGTTTTTTTTAACATGACAACAGTAATTTTAATGTAATTTCATTAATTATGACTTTTTCCCTTTCTGATTTTTATTCTGTAACTAAAATAACATCAGAGCACTTTAATAAAATAATAAATAATATTAACGTGTTACTGATTACCAGATTATTATATCTGGTTTTTATAATACATTAAACTTAATGATTTATTTTACTCATACGAGCTCTTTTGCATGTGATTCATTTTTTATATTTGAAAAAAACAAACAATTGTGCATAATTAATTGATGTAAAAGAATATGAATTATATGATATATTTACTGCCAAGCTTAATTTTGGGTGTGGTCTCCTTAAAGTTGAATGTAAACTTTTTTTTAATGTGCTCTATTGTATTTCATATTTTTATATTTGTGACAAAGGTATAGTAGAAATGCTTAATATACCTTCAGGTGTATATATATGTACACTTTGTTTTACATCCTCATAGAATAAAAATTCAGATATACCAAGAATTCTAATTTTTCA